TGACAGGTTCCGTTAGCGTACCTTCTTTGACCGAGGTCAAGTAGTAGTAGCCACTCTGATAGGCTTCCTTAATCACAAAAGGTCATTCCCAATATGAGGTGAACATCGAAGGTTCACAGATCTACCTCCTTATGTGCTCGACTGTCCCGAGGAGGAGATACTCTTCCCTGAAGTTGCATGGCTTGACTGTGCGGTTTTAGGCTTTGGTAACTTGTTGTGGTATGGGGCTGTTTTCCTAGCTGCTTCTACCCTTTTTTCCTCGAGTAACTCAAGGTCTTTCCATCTCCAGCTTGCGTATGTTGCAACATCTCATTCCACATTGTTGAATGTCGAAACTCTCGCCATGGGCATCATTATTTCCATAAGGGAAATAACTTATGACCAATACACTAAGGAGTAAGGAGAGAAACCCGTAGCGTTCCTTAGAAATGTGCGATAGGCCCATAGAACATCTCGAAGGAATGCTCCAACCCCCAACGTAATTGTGTACCATCTTGCTTAGGATTCTTAGCAGTGTTTTGTTTGTGGCTTCAGCTTGACCGTTTCCCTGAGAATAGTACGACTTGGAGCAATGATGCTTGATCTCGTAAGCATCAAGTGTGGAACTTACATGTTTGTTCACAAAAGGTGTGCCGTTGTCACTCACTATCTTGTAAGGTATCCTAAATTGGCAAACGAAGCATTCCCTGATGAAATTGGACACTGTTGCTCATGTTGCTTTCCTAAGAGGGATTGTTTCTACCCACTTCGTGAATTACTCAATGGCTACTAGGATCCATATATGGCCTTCGGAAGCTGGATTGATTGTTCCTACTAAATCAAGCATCCAAGTGTGGAATGGTCATGAGGTGCACATGTCTTACAGTAGGGTTAAAGGCTTATGGATTAAGTTTCCATGAACTTAGCATGCATGGCATCTCTTAACCATGTTGTGTGTGTCTTCCCTCATGGTTGGCCAATATTATCCTAGGCCCAACAGTTGCTTGTGTAGCTTATTCCTTCCTTGGTGCTTACCGCACTCTCTAGCATGTACCTTCTGCCTGACTTGTGATGATTCGGATGGCACAAGGCATCTCAATAGTTCCCCGTTGAATCCCTTTTGGTATAGAGTTGCCTCATCCATGAAGTACATCTTGGCTATCCCTTTTAACTTGTGTGTGTCTTTAACATTGCTTGGTAGTGTTCCATCGATGAAGAAGGTCAGGTATGGGGACCACTAATCATCAGTGATGGAAACTGCAAATGCCTCCCTTAGGGAAAATGTTCTACTGCATTTTGGATAGTCGGATTGGATGCATGTGGCTTGTTGCTTCATCTTTGGACAGTAGTGTCATTTTCTTTGTAGTCGGCTGTAGAGACTCACAACTTGGTTAACTCCGCACGTAGTCTCATGAATCTCATGCAACCTTTTTTGTGCTTCTTTTGGTCCGAGGCATCAGGTTAGCACTCACCCAGGTAGACGCTTGTAAAGTGTCCTAGTAACATTGATGTACTCTTTAAGGTATTTGATGTTGAGCTCTCCTCTTAACTTGAAAAGTTCCCTTCTGACAGTTTCTCTCTAGTTATCATCTTCTAGAGCTTCCTCAGGGAAAGGTGCATCAATGGCTTAAGCCTCTCTTCTAATTACAACAATGTTGGGTTGTTCTTCGACAAAGGTAAGCTTGTAGCCAAATGTCACTAGGGTATCCGCATATCTGTTGGTTGTGCCGAGAATGTGTTCCAACACCACCTGCTTAAAGCTTGCCATGAATTTCTTGGCCATATTGTGATATGGTGCCAAGGTTATTTCCTTCACCGCGAAGCTTCTTTGGACCTGGCTCATGACCAAATTCGAGTCCCTTACGACTCGCATCTTCCTTGCACCCATTTCCTCGGCTGTGGAAAGGCCTATGATGAAAGCCTCATACTCAACTACATTGTTTGTACATGAAAAGCTTAGCTTGAAGGCTAGGGCGATATCTTGGCCCTCTAGATTGACAAATACAACGTCAACTCATCCTCTTGTGGTTGTGGAAGAACCATCGAAATGCACGACCCATGGCTCATCTTCCACAATGATGGCAGCTATCTCTGGCAGTGCACCAAGAACTTCCTTGGAAATGGTGGCCTCTTCTTCTTCGGGGAATAATGCTAGCATGTCTATCACAGCTTAGCCTTTGATAGCCTTAGGCATCACACATATAATATTAAATTCAAAAAGTTGGAGCAACCAACGAGCCAAACGGCCAGACAATATGGGTCTAGTGAGCAAGTACCTTACTGGGTCAGACTTTACCATAAGGTGCAGTTTGTGTGCTAGGAAATAATGGTGCAGTCGCTGTAATGCATAAACAATAGCTAGGCAGAGGCGCTTCGTCTTCTCATAGTGGGTTTTGACGCCTCTTAGTTGTCTGCTGACATAGTAGATTGGTAGTTCTTCTCTGGTTGGACTATCCTGGGCAAGCAGGGCTTCTACGACTATGCTTGTTGCGGCCAGGTAAAGCTTGAACGGAATAGATTGGGGGCTTCATGGTAGGAAAGTTGGTGACTAGCTGCTAGACTCGTTGATAGGCTTCTGTGCATTCCTTGGTCCACACCAATTTTTTCCCTTTCCTGAGCAGTGGGGCGAAGGCTCCTATTCTTGCTGCTAATCCTTGGATGAAGCGCCAAATATAGGATAGTTTCCCCATCAAACTTTTCAGCTTCTTTGCGTTGGTCGGGGGGCATGAGCATTTTAATGGTGTGCACTTTGTCTGAATCTACATCGATGCCATGCTGATGCACCAGGAAGCCCAGGAACTTGCCAGAGGAAACACCAAAAGTGCATTTCTTGGGGTTCATCTTCAACTCATATGCTCGGTATTTTCCCAGCATTTTTCTTAGCACTTTCTAATGCCCATCCCTGGTCTTGGATTTCATTACGAGATCGTCCACATAGTCTTCCACCTCATTCCCTACCATGTTGTGAAAGACTACTGTCATTGCTCGTTGATGGGTGGCACCAACTTTTTTAAGTCCAAATGGCATAACGGTGTAGTAAAAGTTTCCAAACGGCGTACAGAAAGCCGTATTCTCAGCATCTTTGGCAAACATCTTGATTTGATTGTACCCGTTGAAGCCATCCATGAACGACATTAGGCCTTGCCCTGAGGTTAAATCGATCATGATGTCCAAGTTAGGCAATGGAAATTCATTTTTTGGGCATGCTACATTGAGATCTCTATAGTCGATGCATATCCAGATTCGAACATTGTTCTTCTTCTTTACTAAGACAATGTTGGCTAGCCAAAGAAGGTGCTTGATGAATCCGACTGTGATAAGCTTTTCTATTTCAACTTTGATTTTAGCTTCTATTTCTATATGGAAATTCCTCATTTATTGTACAATAGACTTGATCTCAGGCTGTGTATTTAGCATGTGACACACTAAGTTTGGATCAAGGCCTAGTATCTCTTCATAGCTCCAGGCAAAGACATCCTTGAACTCTTTTAGCAGGCTGACTAGTTCTTTCTTTTCCTCAACAGTTAAGTAAACACTAATAGAAATCAATTTTTGCACAGATGAATCATCACTTAGGTATACTTTTTCAAGCTTTTCCGCCACTGCAATGGATCCATCCTGCATGCATTTTGGTGCAGGCATGATTTTCTGCGGGTTCATCTTCGGCAACAGGTGCATGCATGCCTTCAGTTTCCTTGGGAACTTCACTTGCTTGGCGTGCAGTGCCTTCATACTTGGGGCTTTCCCACACAATGTGGTTAGGCCCCCCAACCCATCATAAGTGGTAGATGATAGGCAGTCGAGAAACACGACCTTGAAACATTAAGGTGGAATGTAGGCAAGAAAATTAGTATCTCGCTATATGCGTTTTCCTTTTCCCACAATGGCTATAAATTCTTGGTCACTGAGATCTTGGACTTCTTCCCAAAAAGGTAAAGGTATCCCTGAGGGCTATGATATCTACTTCCGGTACTTGAGAAATCATTATAGAACTCAACATCAGAATAGTGAACTTCATCTAGGTTGAATGGCATCTGGTTTCCTAGGATGCCAATAGGTTTTAGACCTATCCTTCCCTTGAAGCACTGGTGGTAGGTGGAGACTACGAATATGTGCTTGTTTGTCCTTGGCCTTCTAAGCAGAGTGTGGTAAGCCACATTGATGTCTATCACATAAAACTTAGTGAAGGATCTGATAGGGCCAATCTTCAAGTCGATCTCGATATATCCAATAGTTTCCTCACTGCTATTCTCAAACTCATTGATAGAGATTTGAGACCTTACTACCTTTGACGTTGGGATGCTTACTACAGTTAGTACTGCCAAGGGCAAAATGTTGACGGAGGAACCAGTGTCAACCAAAGCTCGCTTGATGAAGACGTCATTGATCTATCCTTCCAGGTACAGTGGCCTTCGGTGGTCAGGGAAAGCCATTTCCATGTCTTCGTCAATGAAGATGATGGCATTGTTGTTCTCAATGATGGCCTTCTACGGCTAGGCAGCATAGCATTGAGGGCCATAGTCTTCGGAAACATACATGAGAGTTTCAGTAGTAGCAGTCCTTGCTTCCGGGTCGTATTCAAGCTGGTCGAAAAGGGATTTGGACTTCGAATTTTCTTGGAGGACATGCACTGTTGTAGGCCCTTGCCCTTGGGAAAGGTAATGCTCAATCGCATCAGCTTCCATGTCAGGAAGATTGTACAAAGTCACAGTCGTCATTTCCTGGTTGACCAGTTACCTTTCCGAGGCTTCCTCGTTGTATTCTTCTAGCATGTCGATGGTGAAGACCTCGTCATTTAGGCTTGGGGAAAAATCTATGAGATTTGCATCCTCATATCCTCATCCTTCAACTTGAGGCCACGGGGTATCATAACTATGTGGCTTGAAGTATTTGCACCAGTAAGCTTTCTTCATGTTCCCAGAAGGTTCCCAAATGGCCTCCAAGTATTTGGGGTTGTTGATCCATTGGTGGTAGATATCATTATCTCCAGAGCACGTGATGACATCTGCTATCTCTTTCCCTTAGCGCTTTGGCAGAGGGTCAGTGTTTATAGCTTGCGTCTTGCATGACAGCTCTAGCGTTCCTTCACAGATTTTTGCATGGAGAATTCTTCGCAAAGTTTGGCATACAATATAGGGATGTCCCACATACTGATGGTAACGACAATACTTGGGATCCTTTCTATCTTCCTTGGAAGGGGATTTATACGACCGAGGCACCTTGATGGTCCCATCTGCAAGCATGGTATCGAGGATGGCTTGGAATTCCTCATTATTGCATGCTAGTGGAGGATAGGTTTCCCTATCACTCTTTATTTCCTTCATTTTTCTTGGATTGTAGTCAAATCTGTCATTCATGGATAGGGTATGATGAGCTTCTTTCTTGTAGGTCTTCCAAGATTTCCCCGTAGAAGGCTTAATTGACAAGCTGGTATTCTTTACTGCTTCTAAAAGCCTCAAGAACTGGCTGATACTTATGTTCTTCAAGTACACCCTGTAGTCAACTACAATGTTGTTGATGCAGATCTCCACAAGAGCTTCCTCGTCATTCTCGCCATAGTAGTCAAGGGCGATGTCTGCAAAATGTTTGACAAAAGTCACCAAATCTTCCTCGTACTTTTGGCGTGTATTGTTGAGCTGAGTTGTCATGACCATTTCCTTATGCTTGAAGTACTTTTTACAGAACTTGCATGCCAGCTCTTTCCAGGTCTGGATGGATCCTGGTGCGAGGGTGGTGTACCAAGTATAAGCACGATCAGTTAGGGTTTTCAAGAACTCCCTGAGACGTAGGTTGCAGTCGTCGGCATGAGGACCCAAAGCATCAATGAAACAGCTTATATGTTCCTTAAGGCTTCCATTCATCCCATCAAAGAAAACAAGGTTAAGAGTCTCGTATCCCTTAAGATATGGCATGTGGAGAACAATGGTTGGATATGGTGGCTCATGAACTTATTTCCAATCCTCTAAGCTTCTATGCAGCTCATTTTCGAGCATAACTATAATGTCTTCCTGAGTGACAAAGGATGGTGTTTTCTCAAAACCCTTGCCAGCAGCAACAACTGACTCCTCCTAAGAAGCCATTTCCCTGGGCGTGTAGTCCTTGTCACTGGCCTTTTCACTTGGCTTTCGGATTGAGTTTTTCAACTCTTTCACAGATGCATCAATTTCCTTTTGGGCTTCACCCAAGGCATGAATGGCTGCAATAATGTCCGGCATGTCATATTCGTCCAGGTTTTCCTGCCTTTCCTGGCGTTGGCCTTTGCGTTCAGACTTGTCAAGCCGGGAAGCAGCCTAGCCTGTATCTGAAGCGTTGCCATTCCTGGAAGTGTTTCTTCTGGATCTCAGAGCCATTAAATGAAGACTGCGACCTGTCCCCAACAAAGTCACCAATTTATGTTGGGGGACTTTTAGGTCGAGGTGGACTTAGGCTTTGAGAACGTCCTCTTGTCTCCCTTGGTGCGGGTTCGCAACAAGTCTCAAGATATCTCGAAAGAGATAGCTTGTCTTAGGAAATACCCCAGTAACATCAATGGCTCGAATATAGCATGAAAGATCAAGATAATGACTTGCTCAAGTGAAGCATGGTATGGAAGCTAGAAGATTATCAGTTTACATGAAAGAAAAGGTTTGCATGGTTGCATGGCATTCTTAGCTGCATGATTTGGGCTTTCGTAGGGTGATAGTAAGGCTTCTAATGGTTGAGATGTTTGATGGAATGTTGTGGGAATTACTAAGGTTGCATGGATGGTGATGCTTAAGGCTTGGAGCAAGCCTTTAGACTAAAATGGAACTTTTTGGGCTTCTTCCTGAGTGGTTCTATCTTACTACGTTTTCTCTATTTCTCTCTATATGTTCCTTTGAATCCCTCTTTAATGGCTTCTCTCCCTCCTTATGTAGGTGAAGGGTTCTTTTTTAGATTTCAAGGGAATATCCCTTTGTGGCTTAGTATTCCCTCCCTTTCTCTCTAGTTATCCTATTATCCCCTTTTGGTGTAAACTAAATGCATTGTTGAGACCTGCAAATTGCTTCTTCCTGAGAAGTGATTTTTCCCGGACTGTCTTCTGCAGGCGCTAAATCTGGTAGTGCGCTTCACGGCTTTTGTGTGTTGGTTGTCTATGCAGGCTGGAAAGGGAAAGTCCGCATAAGTGCCTAGCTTGGTGGGCTTATCATGCATTTAATGCAACAATCTAGTTTAATCCTAACTGAGGGAGTTGGCCTGCTAGGGAAAGGGATAAACTAGGTTAATTCTCTTTCAATGATGCTTGTATGAAATACAAAGGGTATGAGCTTGGATCTTTGGGCTCCTAAGCAACCCAAAGTCTTCCACGACCCTGATTTCACATAGGCCCGATAACCTTGTATAACCATCCACACCATAATCCACTTGGCATGTGACTTGGGCTTAGCATGATTTGTGGCTAAAGAAGCATGGCATGATGAATATGCATGAGCATGGCATGGCATGACATGTTTGTGAATATATTCCTTGTTGATCTTGTGCCTTGGCGCGTGTTTGGGCTTGAATGTAGGCTTTGCATGACAATTGGGCCTTGAGACTTGGTTGGTTGGTGCGTGACATTTTTAGGCCCCAACAACAGGTCGAATCTAACTCAAAAAAATCTTATAGGGATGATTAATGGTACTTTGCAACCGAAGGTAATGATTGAAGGTATCCTATTTGATATTAGACAATTACAACAACAATTGAGGTCAGTAGAATTTCGTTTTACTCCTTGTGTTTGTAATAGGGCAGCGCATCTAGTGGCATCTTTTATGTTTAAGGAAGGTGGGTTTCATAGTTGGAATGAGTTTGGACCAGAGTAGTTGTTCAACACTCTGGCATCTGATGTAAACGTTTCGCTTCGAATTTAATCAAAATTTCTATCGTTTGAAAAAAAAAAATAAAAAATAAACCAGTTATATCATTAAGCATAGTACATAATTAATGATAAATTAAGCGTAATGCTAGGTAGAGTAACTTTTTAAACCAAGTTTGTAAATCATGTGATATGTCACTAATACAAAATAAGCACGTTTATTGGCATTTAAATAATAATCTAATCGTCAACAACCACATCATATAATTTATAAAATTATACCTAAACAATTAGTCTCCCGTACATTACTATAAATTAATAATACACGCGGTTCATGCGACAGAACGCAATGCTATTCATTGCGGTCGGTCCTCCACACTAATTTTCTACTGTTTCCTTCTCTCTTGCCTTATTTTTTGGATCGTCTCTTTTTTTCCTTTGTTTTTTTTAACAAACAACAGCGATATTCTGATTTTTTTTTTGATCGAGCAATGCTTTGAATTCGAAGCATGGGGTGGGAATGAAGTTGGTGTGTGTTTCAACTTTCAAAGGAGCCTGGCAATGGCATGCATAACAGTGAGGAGAGATGGGAAACTGATTCAAACTAGGGGGAGTACGTAGTCAGGCTCCTCTCACGGAAAGTGCTCAAAATGGAACGACAAGCCAGCCAAGGAAAATGTTAGAATGGAAAGGAGTTGGCAACCTGTTTTTCACCGGCCGAGCCGGGCGCTTATGAAGCTAGTTCCCTATTTCCGATGGTTACCAACTTAACCAAGTTAGCAAGTCTTGATTTGCAAGAGAACAACAATAGCAAATAACATAGTGGGTGACAAAGCGCATGTCCAAGCATCACAAGAAATCCATAGCAGTCATAAGTGCAACAGCAAACAAAGGCAATATCTCCGGAGTGTGCTATGCTGACATATAAGAGTAGATAGCACAGACATTATTACACTCCAGGAATCGTATAACCAAAATGGTCGAGTGGAAAATACAAACCTAAGAAACCCCAGAAATGGTGACGTCTAGATTACAGGGAAGCAGGAACTCGGCAAAGTACACTACACGGACATGCACGAGAAAGCGCATGTATATCAGCTCCCAGGTTCAAGTATAGGCATCTGCATCAACACATAAATCAAACGATCAAACTTTTCCTTGGTCATGGGGATGGAGGAGGGTATCTGCAAGATGTTCTAGATGAAAATAACGTACCATTGGGTGACTCAGCACTCCTTGTGCAATATTTAGGGGTGGCCCCTGCATTAGACATTGTCAGCTCAGTCGTGTTTGATCTATGATCATTCAGATGGAACCCCAGATCCCTCGACTTAGGCCACTCATCAAATAAAGGCTGAAGAGAATTTTGTTCGTGTTTTTGAGATCCTGGTAAGCCAAATTCTCCACCAACATACTCTTGTTTGGTGATTGCAGCAGCATCACTCAATGACTCCATAGTTTGTAATGTCTGTAGCTGAGAGCTGTTGTTTAGCCAAAGAGAACTATTTCTCAGTTCTGATTTTAAGGGAACTTGAGGCTCCATTAGACGCCACGGACTGTCTACAGTACCGTGCGCCTGAACACACCTCTTAGCTTCTGACATGAAATTGTGTTCTTCTGATCCAGCTGTATTGCACCCCCTGCATTTGCATAAAATTAGCACACCCTTTTGGTTCCTAAGAAATCTGTCTCTAACTGCATATCAAAAACTACTATTCTCAAGTTCTAACAAAAAAATGACGATTAAAAATCATAACCAATCATGGTGCATCAAAACGTAAAGTAATGTCATGGATGCAATTTAAGAAATAATCAAGCTCAGGTCTCCTAAAGTAATGTCATGGATGCAATTTAAGAAATAATCAAGCTCGGGTCTAAATAAAATTACCCATCAGCAACTGAATTACACGATGCCTGCAGTCATTGCCAAAAAGAACCATCACCAAAAGGTCCATGGCCATGAGTCATTGGGCATTGACCAGCCCACTTGTGGGTCTGGACTAGCCCATTGGCCCGTTTCAACTAAACTCAATCTTTTAAATTTCTTTCAATTCCTTTCCCCTTATATCCCTAAGATGACCATCACAAACCTTTCATATGCATCAATCACCACAATGATGCAAAAATCTTACTTTTAATCACATATTCAATTAAATGATTTTGTTGTTTTGATTCAATAAATTTTATCTGCATAAGAAACAAAACTTAAGAATGGAAAAAGGTAGAATAAACAACAAATTTGTCCATCTCAGAAAAAGGAAAAGAAAGCAAAGGACCATATTACGCCATTGCCAGAATGTATTGTGACCAAATTCTACTGGATTATACTGTGGAAAAATACGGACTGGTCTCTCTTTGCTGTTAGTGGACAGCTTGTCCATCATAATTGCACTTCTAATTCTGGATAAAAGAATATTTATCGTCATATAACAGAAAAACAGAAGAACCCAACAAGAAATACATCACAAGCACACACTACCAAATCAAGATGGACCCAAAATCTGTTGCTGCTCAATAGAAAATTCTTCTCCTGCCACTTATTTCAAAAGTCCTACTGTTTCATTCTGCCTAAACAAACTATTGCCAAAAATTCACAGCACCAAAAAGTGGCAGCCTTCTGTGCACCAACTCCTACAGAACCTGCCAACAGGGAACAACAATCTCGAAGTACACCCGGCACCAACCGCATTAAACATCCCTCAAAAATATGAGCTAAAAGACGATTCAAAAAGACATGATGATAACTCTTAGCATCTCTACAAGAAACATCCTGAAAGCAGATGGATTTCAGAAACATCTTCTCTAGCTACTCCCAAAACCTTTGCTTGCCAAAAACATGTAAGAATCCCAATCACTATCATTGCCATTTATTTACAAGTGACACTGCATCCAACATCTGTCTACCTTCAACAAATTGGTTCAGGAGCTTCTACAAAGCTCTCAGAGAGTAGGTCAGGTAACCAACTTGGCTCTTAGCTCCGCTTCTAGCTAGTTTACAGCCTTAGTTGTTCCCCTATTTTCCTTCTATTTTTTGGTCATTCGGTTTCGTAGATGATCATTTAAATACTTTGGAGGGATAGAATTTAACAGTTACTT